GTACTGGGTACGGTGATCTACACGCATGTAGAGCGGATATTATGTCGGAAAAGGTGCCCTCGGCTGTAGGTGATTAGCCGAGGGCTCTGAGTACCGGGGACCTCCTTAGTGCTAAGGGCTACTGATTTTCGCCATTTTTCCCAGTAACTTTGTTTTCCTGTTTTGGCCCTCCTGTGAGAATTAGAGCCTTCGGCATTGCAGCCGAAGGCACTCCTGGTGCGCATTGTGGGCTGCTTGGTACTCTGGGCGCCGTGATTTGGGTCTGTTGTGCTTCCTGGGCCTATTGGGCCTTTATTGGAGTAGTAGGAGTCTGTGGACCGGGGGTTCCCGAGCCATATACTACATCATATGTGTTGAGCAATTTGTTGTCAAGAATTAAAGAGACAGACGAATAAACAATGTCTATCACATAAATTTGAATTTAAGTTATTCCGAATGGTTGATGGTATGGTTCTATTAAATAGATTTTTTTTGTCTTGGTCTTCTGAAACTTTATTTCAAGTTTATAGTGACAATTACAACACCTTATTTTGAATTATCCCGCAAATTTAGGTTGGCAAGGAGCCAACCATTTAACAATGTAGGGTAGTTGAACACATGATGTCTTTGTCTTTAATAACATACTCTTTACGGTAAGTTGTTTAGCTAAAAACAAGTTATATGTGAAAGGGGATCAAACTTGAACTAGCATTCTTGTAAGGAAAAACTTGTGATGTCTAGGACTCTAGGAGACTAGGACTCTAGTGAAACCATGCGACAAAGAAAGCTATACTACTTTGCCATGCAACAATAATGCCATCTCCATGTGATGAAAAAAAAAATCTTTATTACGTTACGAAGCAGAAAATGGATGTAAGCAAGCCAGCAAGGCGGTCTACATTGAATAAATTTTACAGGAATTTTTTTTCATTAATAATTAAGATATTTTTTAAATTTAGTGTGGGTCGAGACCTAGGTCCCCCTAGCTCCGCCAATGGATGTAGGGTTTGGGAAGGTTTTATGTTTTATTTTAAGAAAAACTAACAACAATATAATTCCACCTTTCATCGGTATTTTAAGAATAATCTCGCATTTACGTGATCCCATAATAATCCAACATGTGCAGTGGCATGTCCAGGAATTGTTGTGAGTGGGGGCGAGTTTATACTACTCTCATCGTCCCATAAAATTCTTCTCACTTAATATTTTTGGTATGTCACAAATAAATCTTTTTTCATTTCCCTTTCTGAAAAATTGTGTGACTAACATTCGTTTACCTATTCGACCACAATCATACATTTTAATTTTATTCTAACTTTCTTAAAATTTGATTCAAGCCAAACCGAGAATAAATTTATAAGATGAAGGGAGTATATATTATTTCAAGCCGATCACAAGCAGCTAGACACTTTAAGAAAAATAGTACAAAATTCATTAAAACTGGAAACTAATCGATCAGCTAAAAAATATGAAATAGAGCTTAATAAATTTGAAACAAAAAATCTAATTTTTTTTGATGTATTTAGAATTAATGTAAATTGTAAATGCAGAATTATATCTAAAAATGAATTTATGTTTAGTGTAAAATGTAATGAAGTATATTTTAACTCTAAAAATGTAATGAAGTATAGATTAAATCTAACTATGTATGTATATATTAAGTCACTTTAAATTTGATTAAAAGTTTAAAAAGAAAACAAGGAACATAATATATGGAAAATTAAAGTTTGGAACCACAAAAGGAGGAGGGATTTGAACCCTTTACCTATGGAAGGGCTTAATACGCAATAAGCTTGGCTTCCACTGGACTAGACCGCTATTTAGTGACAATTCGCGTTATTATGGTATATATTATGTATATTCATCACACAAATATATGTATAATTGAATTATTAAATATATATATATATATATATATATATATATATATATATTGGAGTTGGGTGGGGTTGAGTGGGGGCAGCTGCCCCCTGCCTCCACCCTGGATACGCCATTGAACATGTGTACATCGTCTTGTTTCATTGATCCTGACCGATTGATAACTTGCTATACCTTGATGTTTTTCTTTTGTTTCGAATCCTTACATAAATAATCTCACATACCATATTTCACTAGAAATTATCTCATTTTGTTTTTCACATACAGTCACTGCATACAACGTAACACATTACTTCCTAAAACGGTGTGCCATTTTTTCTCATTATGTACCATTTTTACATACAGTCACTCAAAACAGTCTCATATATCATTTTCCTTTTTGTCACTAGAAATTTTCTCATTTCGTTTTTATCATCTTGACACTTTTTTTCCTTTTTCATCTTCCGATCTCATATTTTATTTATTTTATTTGTTTATGCATTTCTTTTCACCTTTTCTGAAAAGTCTCTTTTGTAGAATTTCTCCTGAATAGTTTTTTTCTTTCTTCTTCTTCCCCATTTTTACTCCATTTTATTTTTTATTTATTACTATTTGGTTAATTCTCTTTTAAAAATCTTTATTATGCACTATGCGTTATTATTTTATTTATTTTTATTTCGAATTTTCTTTTCTTTTTATTCTCCTTTGCCATCTTTTTCCCCTTTTCGCTATCTTAGAAGTCATTGTTATTGTCTTTGTCACTTGTTAGGTCATCCTTTTTTGCTAGTTTTTGACATGTTAATGATTTGTAACTTTTTCTTCTTATTTGTTCCCCATTTCAGCTAATTCCCTCACATCTATCCCTTTTCATGTAGAGAGTATAGACCATTGTTTTCTTTCTTGCATTTACCTGATTATTTTATTTTTGTTTTTATTTCAATTTCCCCTTTTTTCATGAAGAGCTTTTTCTGTAATTGATGAGATTGATAGATGAACTGAACTTTGAAAAATATGAAGATGCAGAAAGGAGAAAAAATATATTGATGGTGGAATTAAGGTAACGAAAAGAACAAAAAGAAGAAAGAAGCAAAACACAAAAAGGTAACAAGAAGAAGGGGAATTGTGAAAATAAAAAAAAAATACAAAAGTATAAGTGGGAAAAAGATCTTTTATAAAAAGAGAATGATTCAAAAGATAAATACATAAAAATTAAAGGGATATGAAATAAAACAAGGAAAGAAGAAAAGATGGCAAAAATATGTATCTAGGAAGGAATTTTTACAAAAGAATCCCTAATAGAATGGGGAATAGAATACATATATATTACGGAAAAGAAATAAAAAACAAAAAAAAAGAATAAAAAAAGTGTCTATGGATAAAAATAAAGAAAGAAAAATATTTTCAAAGAAAACGTAATAAACCTGCTATAGCAAGTCATCAACGGATAGGGACCAACGAAAGAAGATGAGGTAGTGTAAATGTGAAATTATTATTAGATTACATTAAGATGATATTATTCCGAGAATACGGGTGAATACTGGGTTGCTACAAAGATTTTTTTGGAAAAAAAAAATTAACACAAAACATTTTACACAAATATTTAAAAAAAAAAAATCCCATTCCCATGAATATAGTAACTACAGTTTATATTATACACTACGCACTTCGTATATACATACACAAAACAGTGGAAAATGAAGAATGGGTCCACAAGAAAAGGAGTATATTTAGAGAAACATTTAGAGCCATATCAAAATCGGTTGAATCGGCTGATTCTACTGAAATTTATGACATTCAGGCTGAAGTGACTGAATTGTCTCATTCTGCTTATTTATTAAAAAATTATATTTAAAATATATTTTATTAATAAAATAAAGAAAAAATTATATGTAAAATAGCTAATTAAAATAGTATTGTACAGTAGCTTCAACCAATACAGCCAGAAAAGTAACTACAACCTTACTTTTTCTTATTATTACACGATTCAGCGCGCGAAATCAAAAATACGTGTTTGATAAAAAAAATTGACTGATAAGCCTACCAAACGGGCACTTATTTTCAAGATAAAAAGGGAAACATTTACGGAGTATTTATTTATTGAATCAATTCCCCAAATAGGACTAAAAGGTGGCAAAATTGCAAAAATAGGACTATACTTTTAAATTCTCCTAATAAGACTATTTGTGTGTGTTTGGACAAATATACCCTTGTAGCTTTTGAAATTTTTTAATTAATAATAAAATAATAAAAAACTAATAAAAATTGTAAAAATTATAAAACTCGTAAAAAATAATAATAAATTAATAAATATTTATAAAATAAAAATTTTAAACATATTCTTTTAAAATATTTAAAAATTAAAAAAATAATAATAAATGAAAAAAAGATTGCCGCCTCTGCCACAAGCTCCCAGCACCGGAGAAAATTCTGCCAACATTTTGAAAACAGTGTTTTGACTCTTATTTCTCTGCACTTCAACATCGTCAATAAAACACACTCTACACATTTTTTACATATCAATTTAGTAAAACATTAATTAAATTATTATAAGTAATGTTTTTCTTTTAATTTTTATTTGATTAATTATGAAATAAAAAAGACACGTTTCGATGTAAAAAAACAAATTTCGTTAATATTTGTTTTTTACGTTTTTCGATGAAGTGAGTTCAAACACATTAGAGCATTGGATTCTCTTCTCACATGGAAAAATAAAATAAATTATTTTAACCGTTGAATTTTAATTTCAGCCGTTGGATCAATTTTTTCTCGTTCAAACAATGTCCAAATCATCACAACCGTTGGGTCTACCAATATTTTTAAAAATGAGTGCTCTGTGACATCACCACGAAGTGAGCCTGACATCAACACCCTAAACATTTCCTTCTCACATCCCAAATAGCCACATGGCCCACTGGCCTTTCCCCCCTTTTTCCCTTCTGGCGCACCACATGTGACGCCCTGACCCCTTCTCTTTTTTTAGCCTCCCTCTTTCCACATCCTTCATATATAGCCCCCTCCATCCCTTTCTCCATTTTTACTCCCTCATTTAGCCAACCACAACAATAATTTAGGAGTCCAAAAATTCCACTTTTAACATTTTGGACTCCTAATACCTTACCACTCCAAGTGGTCTAAGCAATATTGTCCGATAGTAGTACTGTAGGTATTAAGAACGTGATAGTAACCCAAGTTTTATGTAGTATATTGGTTTTTATTTCTATGCATTACATGTAGGGTGATTTCCCAAAACACAAGAAAACCTAACATCTCTTGGAAAATAACAGGACCCATTCATATCCGACGTTCGGGGGTCCAGTGTGGAGGAGATGGACTGAAATGAGTTGACACCACCCTTGAGTTGAGAAGCTCAACTATGGGCATCACATTGACGCACCTAGGAGTCTTGTATTGGTTGATCGAAGCTCCCCTTGATATGGCCAAGTCCATTACCTCTTCAAATGTTCCCGATTTCACCACCTTTATTTCAAGCGGTCCTATTGAGTTATCTGCCACTCTACACTGTCTATACACTGTATTCATCGACTCCTCCATCATGAGGCAGCACTTGTTCAAAACATCGTCCTTTGGGTACTTGGAGAGGTCTTTGCTCTCCAATTCCCAATAAACCACATAGTGACCCGGGATGTCATTGGTATGTGCATAGCTAGTGTACTCGACAAGCCTCGTCTCGTATTCGTGCAAGAGAGATGTGGCATTATTTATAGCGCCTTGCAGCTCTGCTTCGTCTGTCTTGTCAGAATCAATGCTGAGTAACACATTCTTTCTCCTCACAAATTTGAACATTGGCGCCGAGTTGTGAAAACCCGAGACCTGAAGTATGTCTCCTACCCGATAACGACACAATCCACTATAGGTGGTGATCACGAGCTCATATTCTTTCCCCAGTTGAACGTCAACCAAGTCAACCAGATGGGGGTGTTGACCCCGTGCTACATGCAAGGGGTCTAATGAGTCATGTGGAAGGAACTCAAAATATCCCATGTTGGGCATGATGGTGTATGAAACATCAGCAGGCTCACACATGGGATTCAGATTGAGGCCAAAGTAACATTCAGATGAGGCATACATGACAGAAGCCTTCGGCAATCCGCCGCTATAATAATCAAGAGTATGGATATATTGAGCCATTGCGCCTGTGACGACCACCTCAAGATATTTGGTGTTGGGCCAAATCCGTTTGATAATGCCTTCCCAGTTCTCACCCTGACACTCCTTGATGATGAGCCGAGCAAGCACCGCATTTGGCCTAAGGATCTTGTTGATGCTATTTCTGATGGAAAGGTCAGTGATTTCGGAGCTTAACGTCCCCGATGAGATATCATGGGCTAGTTCTCTCCAATAGACCTGGAGAAAGCGGATGGCTCGAAGGAGGCCAGAAGCGAAGACCGCGCCCACACGAAGCACATGGTCACGCATTAGCAAGCCGCAAAGCATTTGAGCATACATGCTTTGGAATGAATCCACACATAGGATGGCTTCTATAGGACTTGTGCAATCCGTGTAGGGATTGTGCGGCTTGTTCTTGAATTGGTCGCTGTTGTAGTAACTTGTCAAGACCGGACGTGCAAGTAATCCTCCGCGAGTCTTGGTTCCTACCTTAGTAAATAGGAAGTACAGCGCCTTCCCTTTGTCAAGCCCGGGCACATACCTATGGTCATCAACAATTATGCAATTACTTATAAAAAACAAAATGTAACTTTGTACGTATATTATTAAAGGTAAGCCATTCCCAAAAAACATTAATAAAGAGGTGATGATTGTCGAACTGCAGAATATTCTTCTACTTTTTAAAGTTTTTTGGACACTGAAATAAAGTTAACACCGCTAAGAACTATGAATCACATAATCATTTCTCTAAAAATTAAAGAAATGACTTTTCCTAAAATGTACCCAGATAGACAGAAAATTATTCGAAAACGTACATTTTAGACAAATTAAAGAGAGCAATTCAATTAAGGGGTGTTTGGAATTGATCATGTTCTGTTTCTTTTTAAAAATCAAATTAGAATCAAATCAGTTTTTCAAAAGTTGATCTTTCACGGTTTCTCAAAAACTGCATTTTTTACTCAAATACTCTCATATATATGCTTCTACTATCTGAAGGAGCAGAATGAGTTTTAAGAAACAAATCCAAACACCTTGAAGCAACTGAATGACTCATTCTTGCAATTCGGGGTACTTACAGATTCATCACAGGCATGAGAAGATTGTACAACATCTGCCTGCGGTTCATTTCCTCATCAATAGTAGGCATCAACTTTCTTTCTCCGGCAGATGTCCCAGAACTGTATATTTCATATTACTCAACCACTAGTATGTGGATCCCTTATATAGGACTAAAATATAATGGATCAATTTCTATATTTTAAAATGATTTGCATGTTTATTGTTCTTGGTCACCTCGGATTTATTTATACGCATTTTTGGAAATTAATTTTTATTATTTTTAATTTGATTTTTGCAACTTTAGAAGTAGTTTGAAAGTGTGAATTTCAATTATTAAAACAGATTTAATTATTTGTATAGAACGTTTAACTTTTTCGTCAGCCAACCTTAAGTGTAAAATTTAAAATAAAATTCAATTATTAAAACAGATTTAAAGTATTTTGTTACCTAGTATTATTGTTAGGTAGATTCTATGGTACCCTTAAGGTATCGTACCTTAACTTTGTCCACATGGACCAATCAGTATGATGTAGTTGAATTATTTAAATCTAAATTAAAAATGATATAATAATTTGAACCAATCAAGTGAATGTCAGGTACGATACCCCATTTTTTAAAATGGGTACCGGAGTTGTCACCTTATTGTTATTGTATGGTTAAGAGTTCAATTCATATGATATTCTGTCTCTACCATTAATAGTATGGTCTATCCATAATTTTTCGTTCTTGATTAATCAAAACTCTTTTACGTTCGTACTGTTCTTATTCACGACTTTTGACTAGTTTTAATTTACTAGTGAAAAAAAATAAAGGTGACAACTCCGATACTCATTTAAAAAATGGGGTATCGTACCTGCCACTCATTTGATTGGTTCAAATCATTACAACTTTTTTAATTTAGATTTAAATAATTCAACTACATCATTCTGATTGGTTCATACGGACAAAGGTACGGTACCTTAAGAGTACCATAGAATCTACCAAAAATAAAATCATACTCCCTTCATTCCTGTTTTTTCTCCAATTTCGGCTGGGCACACTAATTAAGATAGTGTGTTTTGTGTGGTGGAGAGTTGTGCATAGGAGAGAGAAATGTGTAAGAATGTGTAAGAATGATTGTGAACCACAAATTCTTTGCCAAAAAGGGAAGGAGGAGATAATTTTGGGACGGACGAAAAAGGAAAGTTTGAAGATAATTCAGGATGGAGGGAGTACGCAGTATTACTATAAATGCTACTCCGTATTATATTTCTCCCGTGTTGTATTTTCAAATCATTACTTTTTTAAACGGAGTAATTTTACAATAAAGTAGTACGTTGTATTGAAGCATGTTAATAGTAAAACTGTAAAAATGTTGACAATTGTGAAAGTTAAAGTTACGTTACAAGGTAATTTTAATGCATGCAGTATGTTCCTTATCTTGTAGACTTGTACATATACATAAATTAATAGGCATTAATTATATTATTCCCTGTCTCTTCGTGAGAGCTTATAATATAATAATAGTCTTTGTGTAAGGGTAAACTTAATTATCATATACTCCTGCGTGGCTGCGTTCTCACTTTCTTCATTTTCGGACAGTGGTATTAACTAATTGTAACATTTTTTGGGGAAAATAATGTACTAATTAGAAAAACTATGCCTTTCATAAATTATGCATTACATTTATAAACACATCTTAAACTATGGTTATTTTGAAAAGAAGTGGTATTAAAATTCATTTTATTTATAATTAATTATACGGAGTAGAATGCAAACCTAGTGAAGAACTCGGAGATAGGGTGGGATGAGAGAATAGGAGAGAAATCCCCGTTGGCAATACGTCGGATGTACGGTTCCAGATCATCGTATCCGACCACAGGAACCGTTGACTTGAACTTTTCCCTGTCCGTAGAACCGCCCAGCTTGAATTGCCGGAGGTACTCCGTTTCGCCGTTCCGGCTAAGTATTTCCGCCAGAACCTTCTCCTGCACGGAGTCCGCGTTCCTGGTCAATTCTTCGATCAACCGGAGGGCTCCGGCGTCATTGTCGCCGGCAAGAGGGGTCAGAGTTAACGGCGAGACAAGAGATTCGACGGTCATGGTCGACGAGAAGTAGGTTTCTATACTAGGTTGTTACTTGTTGCGTTACGCTGTTGTGTATGTGTTTCTTGATAATGGGAGCTGCCTTGATTGGGTTTTATAGGAGTGCATGAGTGGTTGATTACGTGGAGAATTACGTAATAACGTGACGGCGAATGGAACGGTCATCGTGCGCCGGAAACGGAGTATTTTTGTCGGTGGATGATGCGATGTCTACTGGTCAGGCTCGCGTGGGGCCACAAGACGGGTTCTTTTGTCTGCTCTTAACATGTCCATGTGGGTCCTTCGTGTTTGAAGAATCACTCGGCTGCTCTTGGTTCAGACTTATCTATATAAATAATCGATATGCTCCCTCCTATCTCAAATGAAATTCACACTTTGACTTCACACAAATTAAGGAAATAAATTTGACTTTAGAGTACACTGTTGGAAAACAGTTTGACACTGTTTTGCATTGTTTTGATGTAGATAATTGGCCAAATAAGGAAGAGAGAAGAAGTGTGAAGTTTATTTTGGACCTACCCAAAAAGGAAAGTGTGAGTTTCATTTGGGGGCGGAGAAAGTATTTGGAATTGATTCTGCTTTACTTTTTTTAAAAGGACCAGAACCAAACCCAAATTTTTAGAAGTTGGTCCCCTAGCTTTTAAAGAATTGCTTCTATGAGTAATTTGGAGCTCCAGAGATACATTTGAGCTTTCATCTAGACATTTCACTATCTGTTTCTAGTGGTGGACTTGGGCTGCGTGGCCCGACTCGGAACCGGCATGGTACCGGTACTGTTCCGGCCCGGCCTGAACCGGTGGCCCGGTCAGTGACTGGTCTGGGTAGGCCCGACCCGAGCGGTTTCCGGTCTGGGCTCGGGTCACCCAAAACAAGGCACGGCCCGACCGGGCTCGGTTTGGGCCAAATCGATTTTTTTGTTTTTTTCATTTGTTTGGGCTCGTTTTGGGTTGGGCTTGATGTTTAGGAGGGGTTTGGGGGGTGAGGGTGAGGGGGGTCATGGATAGGTAGGTAAGCAAAAAAAAAAAAAACCAGGCCCGACTCGGACCGGACCCGATGGCTACCCGGGCCGGTCCCAGGTCCACCTATTCACACCCGCCGGCCCGCCCGGGTCTAAGCCCGACCCAGACCCGGCCCGGCCCGAATCCACCCCTATCTGCTTCTGCTCCATGAAGGGGTGGAAGCAGTTTCAAGAAGTAGATCTAAACATACCCTAAGTTCAAAAATATTTGTTGCGGGCATGGGCATGATTAATAATTAGGACCAAAATATGATCAAGTGTATTTTATAAATTTTATTCACCAAATAAAATTTATTTAGTCTTATTAAAAAATAATTTGATTACTATTTTCCAAAATGCGAGGGAATAATTTATATTTTAGATTTTATTTTATTCATGATTTAGTCCTCATCAACTAATCCCACCAATGGTAACATGGGAGCAATGTATGTGTTTAATTGAGTTACTAAAATTAACAATTCTCATATGTTGTGTGAGTTAGAGTGTGGAGCCTTTGGAATTTGTCATTGTTCCTTACAAATGGTCATATAAGAAGTCGTATTATATGTATATATGAGTGTGTGTTGGTTTCTTCTTTATACTCCATCCATATCATAATATGTGTCCTAATAGACTTCTCACGTAGTTTACTATTCCCTCCGGTCCTAAATATACTCCACATTTTGATTTCACACAAATTAAGGAAATAAATTTGGCTTTACTGTAGAGTACACTGTTGTGACACTGTTTGACACTGTTTGGTATTGTTTTGCACTATTTTGATGTAGATAATTTGTCAAATAAGGAAGGGAGAAGAAGTGTTAAGTTTATTTTGGACCTAACCAAAATGGAAAATGTGAAGTTTATTTAGGACCGGAGGGAATATAATTTAAAAGTTCTTGTACACTCTTTAAGAAATAGGTGTACAAAGTATAGGTGGGAGTTTGGATCAATAGGTGTACAAAGTATCATGATATGTGTCGTAGCAATTTATTTTATTAAAGTGTATAGTAGTTGTTTTGGGTGTATATCTTTCTAAAAATTAAAAATGTGATCAACATGCAAATATTTTGATTTGGCTTTTGGAATACGCAACAGATATTATGATAGAGATATTTATGACTTAATACTCCGTATTATATAACAAAAACAACATGTCTTTCTCATTGTTCCAAATGGTGGAATCTCCCACCCCAGGAGCCCCCCACCCCGACCCGACAGGATGGTGGGGAGGTTAGTCACGGTGACTCAGTCAGCAGAATGGCAGTAGGCCCATACACCCGTGCGCACCAGAGGCCCAGCCTTATTTCAGGTTCTGTGACCTCCACCCGGTCGCTGCGGGGATTCGAACCTTGGTCCATTGTTCCAAATCTCCCACCACTCGACCAAATGAGCTACCCGTGCGGGTACATGTCTTTCTCAATATATGAGTCCGGTCACCAGTTTTATTCCTAATCTAACATCCTAATGCCATGTTTCATGAGTGGAAACGGCCATATTTTTGTTTAATTTGAGTTATATGTGTGTAGGTTTGGTTAATTAATTGTTCCTCTAAAATGGAAATAAATATGGTGACTGAATTTGAGAGTTGTTGGCTATTTATAAATAAATACCAATGATTGAACATTCGATTGCTACTTTTACTAAATTGATGTTTTTTCCACAAAGAAAGGTCTTTTGTACATGAAACACAAAAGTTGACAACAAAAGTGAAGATTTTTCCAATTAATATGGAAACAAGCATTTTCACATGTCTCTCATTATTCTCCCTATATTATACTTTGTATTATTCTCTTTCCTACATTTACTAATTACTAGATCGAGTAGATACATTAATCATGTTTCACATTGTTTCGACCAGAAAAAGACATACTGAGTTGGTTGATTCTTCACTCCACATCAATCGATCAAGATTCATGAAATGGATGGGGTTGTGTTTAAACTTCTCGTGCATGATAAATTTAATTAGATAGTCACCAAAGCTTTGAAAATGTTAGATTGCTCTAAAAGTAAGGAGAAGTTCATCATACATAATTAAATTTGCTAGTTATTGTCGATGTATTTAATACATTACTTTCAAAACTTTGAGAATGAGTAAAAATATTGTAGTGTGCTTTCTGTGTATCTAAATTTTAAATAGTTTAAACTTTATCAAAGAAGAATAAGCTAGCCTTGTCAATGACGGAGTACTATCTCAAGCTTGTAGGTGATGCATTGGATATACATAGTGTATATATATAGATTTAGGATCATGTGAGAACTTAATCTTAGGAGAGCAAAAAAGAATCAATGTCATCCATTAGATCTTGATTTCTATTATTATTTCGGCACTTCCTCATTAAGGGTAAATATGATATTTTCATATCACATTAAAGCCATTCGATTGTTTCCATAACTATCACATACTCCGTATCTTTCTCTTCCATAGAAATTATAATTATGTCCATAATTATCTCCGTACAATATCCCAGGTATAATCATTGTATAACTATTCATATGATTTTTTAAGGTTCTTCACATGCACATTCATCCTTCTCAATAGCTCTATCCCTTCACGGGGAGTCAAACATATGAAGCTTCAAGATGCACAAGCTTCAGACAAAGGCTTTACAACCAATCCGGAAACAGGCCGCCGAACTCCACTGTGGACCCATGTTATGCCGCTAAACTGCGTTCAAAGTGCCCCATCTCTGGCGGAAACGATAACCGGCCTCTTCTTCTTGGGCTATGTCAACCCAACTAGAAACTAAGCTTGACAACTTATACTTCAAGCACTCGTTAGAAAACAAAGGACTTCTCAACTCCGGCCAAATTCTAGCCACCGAGAACAATGAAGTGTCTTTGCAACTAGCTAGTTAAAGTGTATTTGAATTCATCACACGCTGAACTCATTTAATCTTTATAATTAATTTTATTTAATTAATGACGCACTTTATCATACTCTAGTCTGCTATTTCACTATTCTTTTCCGAAAAATGGTCTGCACTTTTATTAGTTTATTATTTTTTTTTACTATTTTTCATATATGATGATGTGTCAATGGAACGATCATAATCCATTGGAAGAAAATGTGCATTGAATTTTGTAAAAAGTGTCATTGTAAAATTGTAGCAAGTGTAGTGAAATAGTACAATGCACTTTTGTATGTAACTCAAATACACGTGATAAAAGTACATTTCATTTAATCCCACGTGTTGCATTTAAAATCGTTAATAGTGCAACATTTTGCATATCGTGGTGCATTATATTTTATACCAAAATGTAAATGAAAATTTGTATAACACAATCAACGAAAGTGCATATCATTCTAAAAAAAGTCAAAGTAAAAATTAAAAAAATGTGATATAGTGGTGCACATTTGTATGTATTTAGAATGGACATGATAAAAGTGCAGTTCATTTTGTAAAAAAGTGCCAATGTATAACTTAAAAAATTTATGTAATAGTGCACTTTGTATGTATTTAAAGTGCACATGATTGATTTAGTTCACGCCGTTTGTATCTTTATTTTCCTTTTATTTAAAATTACTTGATAAAAATAATGTATAAAAGTGTAAAATAACATGTGTAAAGTGTAGGTATAGAAAGAGCCGACTGAAGACATAAACGTGCAATTCGCAAAAGTGAAAATTATTATAATATAAAATTAATTCATCTTCATTATGTTACGGTCCATTCATGAGTGGTACTGATTATTTAAATAAATATATATGTGCAAAAAAATCAAATATTTAATTAAATTAATGTTACATTCAGTTTTGAGTAAAAAGTGCATGTATTCAACGAATAGGTGCAAATTAACGAACCTATATTGATTCTATATATTGAGGAGTATTGCATCTGAATAGAAAAAAGGTTAATCTTGAAAAATAATTCTGGATTTCATAAATATTTTTTCAAATGAAATATCCGAATGATTTGAAAGAAAAATTAACATTGAAAGAAAATTAAATAATATGAAATATTAATTAGAGAAATTAGGAGTTACGTATTCTTATTAATGCATAGCCTAAAAAAAGGATGCTTTCCTATAATGTTGGGTCGTGCATGATAACCACCTAAACCACTTTACTAT